ATCATCGCCGTCGTCATCATCATCAGCATCACCGTCGTCATCGTCGTCGGCATCTGCACTATCATCATCCCCTTCCTCGTCCTCCTACGTCCCCTTCCCCACCTCCCTCCGCTGGGCAGAGGGGAGGGGGCTCGGTGTCCCCATACGCCGACGGAGAGGCTGCACGCGTGGAAACAGATGACGCCACTGCTTTCAGAGACAAGAACAGTGTCCTACGTCCGAGGAGAGCCAACAACGGAAATGAACGTCAATGGCAGCAGCTCGGCAGGGAGGGAACGAAGGATGAGGATGAGGAGAAAACGACATTCGACATCGCTGCCATGCCACACCAGCCCAAACACCAGCTGTCCTTTATGCCCTCCATCTGCCCGACTCCGGAACCCCGAAAACGAACTGCCTGGTGACGTACCTAACCCATGAGGTGGGAGGCAGGAGGAGGGAGGAGGAAGGAAGGCGAGGAGGCGGCAACAGTGCTCTGGCCAAAACGAGAACCCAAGGCACGAGGGTTTGGACAAAACGACGTGACACTCTTTCTCGGAGCAAGGCGGTTTGAGACACCGGGAGCTCAAAATCGGTCCCACTACCAATCCCAGGGTCCCAACGCACCAGTTCTCCGCGCGCTGCGTCCAGCCGTGGCGACGAGGGCCCCCCACCCGAAGGCCAACTACCAGTGTCTCAACGGCCTCCTCCGATTCAGAGGGCGAAGAACTATATGAGATAAACTGACTGTTCCGCCCTCGGGGACGCCTGCCCCCCGGACGGCTGGACAGCTGCTACCCCTACGTGGCACCGTAGGAGTATAAGCCTTGCAGCTGCCCAGGGGGGCAGACCCCCCCGACGGCGAAAAAACTCCTCCTGCACCGCCCTTCGCCCCCCAAACTGATTGCCGCCCGCCGCCCTCCGCCGGCCTCCCCCCGGGCCCCCGCCGGCAGACCCGCCGCCCTCCTCCTCCTCCCGCGGGCCTCCGCGCCGGCCTCCCCCGGCCCACACGCTCCGGCTCTCCGCGCACTGCGTCCGGGCGTGGCGACGAGGGCCCCCCCCCACGGAAGGCCACCAACTGCCAGCGTCTCGACGGCCCTCTCTGCTTGACGCCCGCCGCCCTCCGCGGGCCTCCCCCCGGGCCCCCGCCGGCAGACGACCCGCTGCCCTCCCTCCTCCCGCGGGCCTCCGCCAGACTCCCGGGGCTCGAAAGCGCTCCCATGTTCTCCGCGCGCGCGCGCCCGGCCGTGGCGACGAAGGGCTCCCCCGAAGGCCACCTGCCAAGAGATCCGACGTCGCGATTTTTTCCATGCGCGGCCCCTGGGAGTCTCGACACATTCCCTGGCACCGGCTTCTCGTCCTGAGCCGTTGTTTGAGGGCCCCGGCGCCCGGCGAGGGCCCCTAGAGGCCGAACTGTTTGTTATTAAGATGTATTATTATGTGTTTGTTGTTGTGATTTTTTTTGAAAAAGAATATATATGTATGTGTGTGTATGTGTGTATGAATATAAATATTGTAATTATATGATTTGCTTCGATACATACATATATATACATACACATACATACATACCTACATACATACATACATACATACATACATGCATACATACATACATGAATACATACATACATACGTACATACATGCATACATACATACATACATGCATACATACATACATGCATGCATGCATGCATGCATGCATACATATATATATATACATATATATACACATACATACATACATACATGCATACATACATACATACATACATACATATACATACATACATACATACATACATACATACACATACATACATACATACATACATACATACATACATACATACATAAATGCATACATACATACATACATACATACATACATACATACATACATACATACATACATACATACATACATACATACACACATACATGCATGCATGCATGCATACATACATACATACATACTGCCAGTGCCTCGACGGCCTCCTCTGCTTCAGTCCGCCGCCCTCTCTGCCGGCCTCCGCCGGGGCCCCCCCACTGGCAGACCGCGCGCCGCCCTCCGCCTCCCGCGGGCCTCCGCCGGCCGGCCGGCCTTCCGCTGGCTTCCGCCGAGGGCGGGGCCCCGGCCTGCCTGCCACCGGGGAAGGAAGCCTGCGCAGCGGCCGCTGGCACCCCGCCAGGGTCCGCCGCGCGCGCCGCGGGGCAGAGGGCCACGACGCTGGGAACCCAGGCAGGATCGCGCAGGAAAAAAAGAAAATACAAACAACAACAACAACAACAACAACAACAACAACAACAACAACCACCACCACCACCACCACAACAACAACAACAACAACAACCACAACAACAACAACCACAACAACAACAACAACAACAACAATCATTTTACCCGAACGCGCGGTGTTCTCCCCAGTGCCAGGGTTTTCATACGACACCAGGCAATACCCCCACTTCGTGGGGGGGCATTACAAGCTCTACCAAATATCCAAACGACTCTTCGCGACCACCCAAACCCAGCTTCCCGCCCTATGACGTTGGGACACTTCACTTCGTGGCGTGCGGACGACCGTGGCTACTACACTGGCGTGGGGTACACACCCACAGAACCCAATGGTTTTTGGAGATTTCGGCGTGCGCGCGCGAAGAAAAAACGAATGTGTCCCGCATGGTATTATTTGACAGGGATGATGGCCCTGGCAGGTGCGCAACCGTTGTCGCAGAAGTTCGAAAAAGTTGCTCGCAAAAGCCCGTTTGACAGAAATGTTTAAAAAGTGTTGGGTTTCCTACGAATCCGCAAGAGCGCGCGGGATGAGATTTTGACATTTTTTTGTTGAAAAACCATTGGTTTTTTGATGTTTTTATGTTAAAATCGCTCCGAACACTAAGCTTTTGGAAGGATTTCGTCTTGCGCGCGCGAATGTCCACTTTACCTTATTTTTTGCAAGGGATTCTTGAAATTTGATTATATTAGAACAAGAAATGTCATTTTATAGTGTTTTTTGCAAGGGAAAGCGGATTACAACAAAACAACCGGATCTGGATCACATCGTTTTACCTGAGGCTTCCTCACGAAAATGATGAAAATGTAGCTGCGGCCTAGGCGCGGCGGGGGGGCGCGCACCAGGGGGCCCAACAATAATTATTCTTTAGAATTAATAATGTTCAACAACAACAACAACAATTACTAGCACGTGGGGACACTCCGTTCTCACCAGTGCCAGGGTTTTCATAGGAGGCGGGCAATACCCCCACTTTGTGGGGGGGCCGGTTCAAGCTCTACCAAATTTCCAAACGACTCTTCGCCACCACCCACACCCAGCTTCCCGCCCTATGACGTTCGGACACTTCACTTCGTGGCATGCGGACGACCGTGGCTACTATTCAGGGCCCCGCGGCCGACGACGACGGCGTGCGCGCGCGAAGAAAAAACGAATGTGTCCCGCATGGTATTATTTGACAGGGATGATGGCCCTGGCAGGTGCGCAACCGTTGTTGCAGAAGTTCGAAAAAGTTGCTCGCAAAAGCCCGTTTGACAGAAATGATTAAAAAGTGTTGGGTTTCCTACGAATCCGCAAGAGCGCGCGGGATGAAATTTTGACAATTTTTTTTTTGAAAAACCATTGGTTTTTTGATGTTTTTATGTTAAAATCGCTACGAAAACTAAGGTTTTGGAAGGATTTCGTCTTGCGCGCGCGAATGTCCACTTTACCTTATTTTTTGCAAGGGATTCTTGAAGTTTGGTTATGTTAGAACAAGAAATGTCCACTTTAGCTTATTTTTTGCAAGGGAAAACCGATCGTAACAACACAACCGGATCCGGACCAACCCGTTTTGCCTGAGACTTCCTCACGAAAATGATGAAAATGAGGCTGCGGCCTAGGCGCGGCGGGGGGGTCGTGCACCAGGGGTCCCAACAATAATTATTCTTTAGAAGTAATAATGTTCAACAACAACAACAACAACAACAACAACAACAACAACAACAACAACAACAACAACAACAACAACAACAACAGCAACAACCACCACAACAACCAACACAGAAAAAAACTAACAAAAAACACACACACATACACACATACACACAAACAAAAAAAATCTGGACGGGAGGTTTGTGGCCAAGTTGGGCCTCGGGGGGCCCTCGCCGGGCCTCGGGGCCGTCAAGAAACGACTCGGGAGGAGAGGCCCGTCCCGGGGAAAGGGTCGGGACTTCCAGGTGCGTCGTATAGAATATATATATATATATATATATATATAAAAAAAAAAAAAAAAAAAAAAAAAAATGAGGACGTCGGTGTCTGGGAAGAGAGCGCCCGCAGCACAGGGCCGGCGGCCTCTGGGAGGGCGCCCTGGAGGCCTCCGCCGCCGCCGCGGCCGCTGGAGGGCTACCGTTCGACGCCTGCCCAGCCACGCGCGGTGGCAGGGAGGGGAAGGCGTCGCCCTCGGCACGGCATGGATTTTTGCTTGGGGGGAGGAGAAGGACCCAGACATGATCGCATCGTTTAAAAAATACGCCGCCGAGGAACCCCACATATTAATATCATGGGTGGAGTGATGATAGCTGAAGCGAAGCATGTGAGAATGATGGTGGTGGCCGTTGCCCCGCCGATACCGTTGGTGACGCCAGTCAAAAGCAGAGGAGGGAAGAGAGTGGAGAAGAGAAGCGCCGCGCCCACCACACTTTGCGAGCCCAAAACGGATAGCGACCGCACCCCCAGGCACCCCCTGTGGCGTCGAGGAAGTACAACTAACGCCTGCCACACCAGCGCACCCCCTGTGGCGTCGAGGAAGTGTCACGCCTGCCGCGCTTTGCGGGCCCGAAACGGATAGCGACCGCTCCCCCCACCCTGCCTTCGGCGTCGAGAAGTTGCCACGCCTGCCACGCCTTGCGAGCCCGAAACGGATAGCGACCGCACCCCTGGCGCACCCCCTGTGGCGTCGAGGGAGTGCCACGCTTGCTACGCTTCGCGAAGGCGACACGGCTAGCGACCGCACCCCCAGCGCACCCCGTGGGATCGAGAAAATGCTACGCACGCCTGCCACACGTTGCGAGCCCGAAACGGATAGCGACCGCACCCCCAGCGCACCCCCTGTGGCGGTGTCGTGGATAGCGGCCGCGCTGAGAAACCACCCCCTGCGCACCCCCTTATGGGGTCCAGAAAGTGCCACGCCTGCTAGGCTTTGCGACAGGTGTCGTGGATAGCGGCCGCGCTGAGAGACCACCCCCTGCGCACCCCCTCTATGCTGTCCAGAAAGTGCCACGCCTGCTAATCTTTGCGGATGTGTCGTGGGTAGCGGCCGCGCTCAGAGACCACCCACTGCGCACCACCTATGGTGTCATGATGTGCTGTGCTGTGCAGTGCTGTGCTGTGCTGAGCTGTGCTGTGCTGTGATGTGCTGAGGTGGTGTGCTGTGCTGAGCTGTGCTGTGCTGAGATGAGCTGTGCTGTGCTGTTCTGTTCTCAGCTGTGCTGAGCTGTGCTGAGCAGTGCTGTGCTGTGCTGTGCTGTGCTGTGCTGTATACGTGCTGTGTGTCAATGTGTTGTGTACTGTGCTGTGCTGGGCTGGGCTGTGCTGTGCTGCATTGCGCTGTGCTGCGCTGTGCTGTGCGAGAGGAAAAAGGCGGAGGAGGGGTGAGGAGGAGGGACGCGGGTGCGACGCGAGAAGGAAGAAAACCAGAACCCCACTAAGCATGTGGGGAATCAGGACGGGAGGTGTTTGGCCGTTTTCGGCCCCTGGAGGCCCTCCTCACGATGAAAAACCGCTCCCGGGAAAGGGTCGTGACTTCCAGGGGGCCCGTATTGAAAAAATCAGGGCATCGCATGTCTGGGCAGGAAAGCTCAGCGGAATCATAGCGCGAAGCCACGAGCAGAACGAGCACCCAAGCCAACTCAACATGCTGTCCTGCGAGCGTGACCGAAACTCTGCCGATCGACATCGACCGCACAGCAAAGAAAGCAGAAGCCTGCACTGGCCCCGGACTCGGGAAGCGGGGGAAAGGATGAGACCAAGAAGGGGATAAGGAAGCGTACGCTCCATCCAAGTGCCACCAGCCTGCTGCCCAGAGCGGCGCTTCCAGCAGCCGAAGGAGGGGCTGCGATCGCAGCCAACGGACCTGGCTGAGACCACTGGGGCCTTCGTGGCCGGCGCCTCCGTGTGGGCCCGGGCTGCCTCGAGCTGGCATGGCACTCGGGCGCAGACCCCCGACCAGTCTGGCCCCACACCACAAGCCCCACTTCGCAGCGAGGGAGCTGCCCAGGCCCACGATCCGACACGTATCCATGCTCGGGCGCTGGCCTTCAGCAAGGTCCTCCTCCTCCTCCTCCTCCCCCTCCTCCTCCTCCTCCTCCTCCTCCTCCCCCTCCTCCTCCTCCTCCTCCTCCTCCTCCTCTTCCTCATCCTCCTGCTCCTCCTCCTCCACCTCCTCCTCCTCCTCCTCCTCTTTCTCAACCCCTGTCGGTATGCTCGCATATCATATCTGGGCGCCGTTCCCTTACACCTTAGGCCTGCAGTAAACGTCTGCTGCGGAAGAATACGGGTGGTTGGCGGAAAGAGCGAGAGAGAAAGAGAGAGAGAGAGCAACTGAGCAAGAAAGCAAGAGAGCAAGAGAGGCGGGTGAAGAGAGGCAGCTAAAGAAGATACAGAAAGGTGGTGGTGGGGTAGATTCCAAGTGGTTCACGCGTCCGATAACAACGGCGAACACGATACACGTCGATGACTATGACTTCTGGTTGCGCAGGCACGACGCTCCCACGGCGTCGGGGCACGACTTGCGATGAATCAAGTGCATGTGGCCCGAAAGTGGATTGTGGTGCTGCGGGGATCACAGCATCGGCGACCGATCCCCAGCAACGCAGTGCGCGCGCCTCCGCTCCCCGCTCGAGGCGAGGCGAGGCGCCCGAGTCGCGCGTGCTCCACTGGGGAAGAGCGCGCACGTGTCCCTTGAGGCATGGCTTGGAGGCCGTAGCCTCGACAGGGAAGAAATTCCGTTCGAGCCATTGAAACATATGTCCGCTGATGTGAGGGCCCCCCCATCCATGTGGAAGTAGGTGAACGACCGAAGAGTCGAACCCGCTGTGTTTCCCGTAGGTAGAGGAAGGCGAGGGAGAAGGTCACGAGCCCTTTTCCCATGCGCCGCGGACGGGCGGCGCGGTACCTGATACCAATACCCAATACCACACACACGCTCCATGAACCCAGCGGCCCAGATCCAACGCAGGACGACGAACTTGCCCACACCCAGCCTCGCAGCCCCCAGAGCCGCCGCCGCCCTCCGACGCCCGCCAGCGCGATCCGGGAGCTGCCGCTGACTCATCGCCGGCGGTCCGTCCGTGGAAGCCCTCGAACGCTCCTCGCGCCGCTCGGCACAAGGGAGAATATCCAAGGGGGCCGAAGACGGCCGAATAGAGCCCCGAGGGGGCCCCAAGAGACACCCGAGAGGGGAAGCACCAACCGACATGTCCGGCCTTTTCCGCACCAAGATGCGCCTGAGCAGCCCCAAAGAGACCCCCAAGAGGCCAAAGAGAGCCACAAGAGCACTCCCAATGGAACCTCAAGAGGTCCGATGTATTTTCCATTACGTCTCCAAATGTTTTTCGTCGTCGCCGTCGTCGTCGTACCCCCTTCAGGGTCGGCGGCACTGGCCGTAAAGTCTCCGCAGTATCAATTACATCATGGTAGGGTTACTTCACTCACCTACAACGGGGGCATAGTGAAGTATTAGAAGACGGACTCGATTTCATCACGCGTGGAGACTAGTTCAACCTTTTTCGTGGCAAAACGGTAAATGTGGTTCTACCGTCCCTGCGGGGAAAAGATGCAAACCGCCCTCCGAGCATGGGTGATTTGTTGTGGTCCCGCTTCCAGCCCCATTATTCCGCTTTGGTCCTGCCTCCCTTCCTGCCCGTACGGCCTCTCCGAAAGGGAAGTGGGCCAGCCAGGGGCAAACAATCAATGGGTCTGCGAGAAGGCTGGTGAAGAGACCACTGTCAGCGACAAGGGCCTGGCCTCGCGAGCGATCGCGGGCACTCCACGCGAGCACCCTGCGAGAGGGGTACTAGAACCCTGCAACTGGTTGTGCCACTGAGTCATCCAGATCGAGGTCACCCAGGAAGCAGCAAGATACGACGTAAGCAGGTGGCGGGACCCTCTACACCCCGCTCTCCATGCAGCCACATGCCATCATGAGCGTCGTCGTCGTCATCATCATCATCATCATCATCATCATCATCATCATCATCATCATCATCATCATCATCATCATCATCATCATCATCATCATCATCATCATCATCATCATCATCATCATCATCATCATCATCATCATCATCATCATCATCATCATCATCATCATCATCATCATCATCATCATCATCAGCATCAGCATCAGCATCATCATCATCATCATCATCATCATCATCATCATCATCATCAACAGCATCATCATCACCAGCAGCATCAGCATCAGCATCAGCATCAGCATCATCATCATCCTCACCATCCTCCTCCCTGTCCTCCTCATCCTCCTCCTCATCATCATCATCATCGTAATCATCAGAATCAACAGCAGCGGCATCTTCATCATCATCATCATCATCAGCATCAGCATCATCAGCATCATCAACGACAGCATCATCATCATCATCATCATCATCATCATCATCATCATCATCATCATCATCATCATCATCATTATGAGCAGCATCATCAGCATCAGCATCAGCATCATCAGAGGCAATCCACACCAACAAAACAACACATACATAACGTCACCATAACCATCACCTCATCATCATCATAAGAATCATCATCATCACCATCATCACCATCATCAGCAGCATCATCAGTGTCATCATCATCGTCATCGGCATCGCCATCGTCATCATCATCATAATCATCAGCATCATCATCCCAGCATGAGCCTAATCATCAGCAACAGCAGAATCATCACCATCATCAACGCATAAATCGCTAGCATCGTCCTCAACGTCATCATCGCTGCCATCCTCACCAGCACCAGTATAATCATCATCGCCATCACACCGTCCTAACGACTATGACCACCATCGCCAGCGTCATCCTCAGCAGCCTCATCTTCGTCGTCGTCACCACCACCCCACCATCACCCACACAACTGCAAGGCAATCCCTTGCCCCTCCCGCGGGGCGAGCTGCAGACCAGCTTCCCTGTAAGCGCGGCATACCTCTTTGGGAAGGGTGTGAGAGCGGTGATGCTTCAGACAAACAAACTACTGTCAGACACTGCAATGATGGCAGCACCGACACCAGCCATCACAATGTGTGCGCCGATGACTGTAGAAGGTACAATCAAGATGCTGACGAGGACGGCCGCAAGGATAATGGCGGCGGAGATAGCGGTACCATTCACGCACACGATGGCGACGGCGGCGGCACCAGACAAATCGGAAGAGACGTGGTTCCTATGATTGCGAACGTGCCTGTGGCCTTCAACAAAAAAAAACGAGCAAACACCAAGGATTACTGTAGGGCGCCCCAGGGTTTCCCCCCAACCACCCACCCCCAGCCACCGCCAAGAACAGTCCACCCCCCCACCCATCACCAGTGGGGGAGATAACCAGAAGCTGGCAAAGAAGCTGAAGCAGGAGGCACAGGACCACGAAAGCAAAAAGGGATGAGCAGACAGGAGGAAAGAAAAGCCAATCGAACGACAGCACCAAACGTGAAGCGTTCTCTATGTCGGCAAGTTTCCTCTACGTTTCGATGTGGGGGAGACTTGCCCTCCTACATCGGCGCATGTATTCTGTCAACACCGACAAGTGATCGACACGGACTTGCCTTTCCTGCAATTCCACGTTTTCCCCTCTTCTTCCTCCTCCTCCTCCTCGCAAGTCTCGTTCTCCTCGTCTTCATGCCCGCGCGCCTGCGAGCACTCGTCCAGCAGCTGGAAGCATTCCGCGTACGTCTTTATTTTCTGCCCATAAACCGAAGCCATAGGACCCCTGCACGGAGGCAGCCCTGGCACGAGGCTCACCCGCCCCCCGGCCCTCTGGGCAGACGGAAGAGCCGGAAGACAACAAAGAGAAAGAGGACGAGCGGGGGCGATGAGGTGGGAATGGATACAGAAATGAGGAGAAGAAGAGGAGCGGAAGAAGAGAACACGAGGTGGCAATGAGCACGACAAGATTATGAGCGGCATCGGGGCTCAAGTAGGCCAGCATGTCCTGGGCAGCTCTGCTTCGGCGAGAAAGACGAGTAAGTGGTCATTGATGCCTGGATCGAAGCGGGCCGTGCTACAGAACAACAAACAAAGAGTGCAAATCAGTGTACAGCCGATGCCTCCTAGCGTACAATTGGCGCCTGGAACAGACAAATTACGCTACCGAGGAACCCCACATACTTAATTTAGATATTATGTGCTTGCTTAAGATTATTATATATGCGCAATTCTGCGTTCTCAGCCCTCGTCGCGAATGTTCCCCTCTGTGTCATCCAACGCCATATTGCTTGCCTCCTCCCTCTTCCTAGCCTTCTATCCTCCATCGAGGACATATTCGAGCCAGCCAGCGGTCGCGGTGAGGGACCACCCCCTGCGCACCCTCTATGGTGTCGAGAAAGTGCCACGCCTGCTATGCCCTGGACGACCGTCGTGCATGGCGGCCGCGGTGAGGGACCACCCCCTGCGCAGCCTTTATGGTGTCGAGAAAATGCCGCGCCTGCTATGCCCTGGACGACCGTCGTGCATAGCGGCCGCGGTGAGGGACCACCCCGGTGAGAGACCACCCCCTGCGCACCCCCTCTGGAGTCGAGGAAGTGCCACGCCTGCTAAGCCCTGCGACATTGGCGCGTATAGAGACCGCGGTGAGAGACCACCCCCGTGGGCACCCCCTCTGGTGTCGAGAAAGTGCCACGCCTGCTAGGCCCTGCGACATTGGCGCGTATAGGGGCCGCGGTGAGAGACCACCCCCTTGCGCACCCCCTGCGGTGTCGAGAAAGTGCCACGCCTGCCAGGCCCCGCGACATTGGCGCGTGTAGGGACCGCGGTGAGAGACCACCCCCTGCGCACCCCCTCTGGTGTCGAGGAAGTGCCACGCCTGCTAGGCCCTGCGACATTGGCGCGTATAGGGACCGCGGTGAGAGACCACCCCCTTGCGCACCCCCTGCGGTGTCGAGAAAGTGCCATGCCTGCTAGGCCCTGCGACATTGGCACGTATAGGGACCGCGGTGAGAGACCACCCCCTGCGCACCCCCTCTGGTGTCGAGAAAGTGCCACGCCTGCTAGGCCCTGCGACATTGGCGCGTATAGAGACCGCGGTGAGAGACCACCCCCTGCGAGGCCCTGCGACATTGGCGCGTATAGAGACCGCGGTGAGAGACCACCCCCTGCGCACCCCCTCTGGTGTCGAGAAAGTGCCACGCCTGCTAGGCCCTGCGACATTGGCGCGTATAGAGACCGCGGTGAGAGACCACCCCCTGCGCACCCCCTCCGGTGTCGAGAAAGTGCCACGCCTGCTAGGCCCTGCGACATTGGCGCGTATAGAGACCGCGGTGAGAGACCACCCCCTGCGCACCCCCTCTGGTGTCGAGAAAGTGCCACGCCTGCTAGGCCCTGCGACATTGGCGCGTATGACCGCGGTGAGAGACCACCCCCTGCGCACCCCCTGGTGTCGAGAAAGTGCCACGCCTGCTAGGCCCTGCGACATTGGCGCGTATAGGGACCGCGGTGAGAGACCACCCCCTGCGCACCCCCTCTGGTGTCGAGAAAGTGCCACGCCTGCTAGGCCCTGCGACATTGGCGCGTATAGAGACCGCGGTGAGAGACCACCCCCTGCGCACCCCCTCCGGTGTCGAGAAAGTGCCACGCCTGCTAGGCCCTGCGACATTGGCGCGTATAGAGACCGCGGTGAGAGACCACCCCCTGCGCACCCCCTCCGGTGTCGAGAAAGTGCCACGCCTGCTAGGCCCTGCGACATTGGCGCGTATAGAGACCGCGGTGAGACCACCCCCTGCGCACCCCCTCGGTGTCGAGAAAGTGCCACGCCTGCTAGGCCCTGCGACATTGCGCCCGCTCCTGGCACCCCCTGTCGAGAAAGACACGCCTGCGCTGGGCCCTGCGACACACCGCGGTGAGAGACCACCCCCTGCGCCCCCTCCGGTGTCGAGAAAGTGCCACGCCTGCTAGGCCTGCGACATTGGCGCGTATAGAGACCGCGGTGAGAGACCACCCCCTGCGCACCCCCTCCGGTGTCGAGAAAGTGCCACGCCTGCTAGGCCCTGCGACATTGGCGCGTATAGAGACCGCGGTGAGAGACCACCCCCTGCGCACCCCCTGTGGTGTCGAGAAAGTGCCACGCCTGCTAGGCCCTGCGACATTGGCGCGTATAGGGACCGCGGTGAGAGACCACCCCCTGCGCACCCCCTCCGGTGTCGAGAAAGTGCCACGCCTGCTAGGCCCTGCGACATTGGCGCGTATAGAGACCGCGGTGAGAGACCACCCCCTGCGCACCCCCTCTGGTGTCGAGAAAGTGCCACGCCTGCTAGGCCCTGCGACATTGGCGCGTATAGGGACCGCGGTGAGAGACCACCCCCTGCGCACCCCCTCCGGTGTCGAGAAAGCGCCACGCCTGCTAGGCCCTGCGACATTGGCGCGTATAGAGACCGCGGTGAGAGACCACCCCCTGCGCACCCACTCTGGTGTCGAGAAAGTGCCACGCCTGCTAGGCCCTGCGACATTGGCGCGTATAGGGACCGCGGTGAGAGACCACCCCCTGCGCACCCCCTCTGGTGTCGAGAAAGTGCCACGCCTCCTAGGCCCTGCGACATTGGCGCGTATTGGGACCGCGGTGAGAGACCACCCCCTGCGCACCCCCTCTGGTGTCGAGAAAGCGCCACGCCTGCTAGGCCCTGCGACATTGGCGCGTATAGAGACCGCGGTGAGAGACCACCCCCTGCGCACCCCCTGTGGTGTCGAGAATGTGCCACGCCTGCCGTGCCCTGCGCCATGGCCTGCATAGAGCCTCCTGCCATCCACTGCGAATCCGACACGCACGTCTTGTATATGGCATGGTATGTATATGTGTATGATGCGTGTGCGGCTATATCGGGACGTGTCTCACGTGGGTGCCCACTATGTCGCGCACACGCCTCAATGGACGTTGCAGTGGTCACGCCAGGCGCGCACTAGCGTTGTATGGTGTGTGTGTGTGTGTTGTGTGCGAGTGTGTGCATGCGCGCGGCCGTATGTAGACTCGTGTCTGATGTACTTGCCGTGCACGCGTTGAGAGCGGGTGAGGAGAGGAAGGAGGAGAGAGGAGATGAGGTGTGAGGTGAGGTGAGACGCGGGTGCGCCGCGGCAGGAAAGAAAACCAGAACCCCACGAAACATGTGGGGAAAAAACAGAGCACATATAATAAGACCGGAGAAAAAAAACACCCCCCCAAAAAAAACATAAAAAAACCTTCCTATGGTTGGGTACTCGTTTTGAATAGAGCAGTGTGGTCGCCCCGTCCTTCTCTTCCTCCCCCCTCCTCCCCTCCACCTCTCTTGTTTCCTGTGTTCCCCATCTCCTCTTCTCTCGTGCCGTCGGGCTGCGATCTGCGCAACTGTCGCCACTGTCGTGGGTTCCTGGGAGGCCCAGCGGAGGTACGTCCAACGCGGATCATCTCGAGACCTCGCGGTGCCCTGGGGGCTGCGATCTGCGAAACTGTCGCCACTTTCGTGGGCTCCTGGGAGGCCCAGCGGAGGCACGTCCAACGCGGATCACCTCGAGACCTCACGGTGCCCTGGGGGCTGCGATCTGCGAAACTGTCGCCACTTTCGTGGGTTCCTGGGAGGCCCACCGGCGGTACGTCCAACCTGATAGCAGATTGATTTCAGGCGTCTAGATACATTTAACTAGCGCCCCTGGCGATTCCCTTCCAATCGCTGTGCTGAACAGCTCTGTAGCTCATCTGCAGCACGAGTAAAACCAGGAGAACCAAGAAATAGGCAGAGTATAAAAAGTTGTTCAGCCCGAGCGCTGATAGCAGACTGATTTCAGGCGTCTAGACACTTTCAAATAATAGCGTGCCTGATGATTATCTTCCGATTGTTGTGCCGAAAAGCTCTGGAGTTCATCTGCAGTTCGATTCTCTTCCGATTGCTGTGTCTAAAAGCTCTGGAGCTCATGTGCAGCTCAAGTTAAATCAAGAAAACCAATTCCATCACCAGAAAAATAGCAGAGTATGACTAGTTGTGCGACGTATGCGCTCATAACAAGCCTAATTCAAGCGTCTAGATATTTCAGACTAGTGCGCCTGATGATTTCCTTCCGACTGCAATGCCGAAGAGCTCTCAAGCTCATACCTCGTAGAGCTCTTCGCTATCGATGAGCTAGAGGAATTCCGGCACGGGGTGGAGCTAGTACCTCGTAGAGCTCTTCCTTATCGATGAGCTAAAGGAATTCCGGCGCGGGGGGGAGCTAGTTAGTCGACGCGGCCAGAAAAGAAGATGTGGTAACTTTGGGTCGGTTTGCTAAGATTTGAAAGATATTCAACCATTCATTTTGAGAAACCAGATTTTTCGCACCTGTAAAAGGCAATGAGGGCCTCTGCGTCTCAATATGAGCTCCACAGGAGCACTTAACTCGTAGAGCTTCCCTTAGCTATATGCTGGAATATTAAGAGTAATTCCGGCGCTCTGGAGAGCTAGGTGGCAAGAAAAATCTCGACGGACTTTTTTATGACTTCTGCTCGGTTGAAAATTAAGCCCTCGAAATTCAACAATTCGTTAGAGCTCTAATATTTTTCACGTGATTTTCGATATTATTCCCGCTCGCCGTCTCAATCTCGGCTCGATCGGGTACCTATAACTGCCAAAAAGCGTCGCGGCGGGATCGCCTGTCTCGAGTCATCTTGACAGGTGCTCTCGGTTTTCTGTACTGCACTCGAGCTGTAGGAAAGCTACAGAGCTGGCACGCACACGTAATCGATTCAGAATCATCAGGCGCGTTCGCCTGAAGCATCTAAGAGGTCTGAACTCGGCCTGCTAC